AATATATATATATTCATAAATGAACAGAATGTTAAACTTGGAAGATATTCTTTTTTTATTTCTCTAAATGGTAATGAAAATAAGTAGCTATTATCAATATTTAACCATTTGCTTGGTCTAGTCCTGCCTAAAATTTTCTTGGTAAAGTGGGAGAGGAGGGATATTTTATTATAACAGGGCCTAACGTGCCATATATAAATTTCATGCTTTGCTATTTATTTTGTGTCATTCATGTCTTTTTTACAAAAATTGCTCAGAAAGAGCATATTAGAAAATATTTAATGTTCTGTTTCATAACTAGTGTGGTTTTAGACTGTTACAGATCAAAGTATTCTATTTTGACTATTACTAAGATTTGCATGTAATGGAATTAAAAGTTATAAGGGCTGCTGATAATATATACCATAATCATTACAACAAATTATAGATTTAATACTTTATAAATATTTTTAAAAATATTTTTCTATTTTTTTCAGGTATGTCAACTGTACACTAGGAGGCAGTATAGTCCACCTTTTTAATGTTAAAAATTTGACATTGGATAACATTTCCAGAAAATTTCAAATTATTGTTCTTTAATGAACAGAGATTGAAATGCATTACAAAATATTTGATAAAGTCTGAGAAAATATTTCAGAGTAAAATTCATTTGAATTATCTTATTAGAAGATCTTAATTTATTTTTAAGTTTTAATTTTGACTTTGTATTTTGAAAGAGGTCATTTATTTGATTTCCAGTTTAAGTATTTGTCTGGAGTAGTAGGCTTCTGCTAGCAGACATAATTTGCTAATCAGCACTTGNTAAGTATTTGTCTGGAGTAGTAGGCTTCTGCTAGCAGACATAATTTGCTAATCAGCACTTGGTATATGTTACTTGTCAGAGAATTTCTTTCATTATGCAGCCTTCTCATTATTAGTACAGTCTTGGAATATTATTTGTAAAATACATGAATTAATATTTAATAGTTAAGTAAGTAATATTAGTTTGTTAAGTATTTCAAAGAAAATTATAATTACATAGATTGTTAATTCTGATTTCAAATAAATATGTTGATTTAGCCCTTTGCTTTTGTTTTCTTCTTCCCGTAATTAACA